AGAGAGAGAGAGAGAGAGAGAGAGAGAGAACAGGGTTTCCAAGATGAAAGGAGGAAGACTTCCAGCTTCTGAGCAGTCTGGGCTGGTGTCATGGTGAAAACTGGGGCCTACATCTGTGTGATCCTGGGTGATTTCTTTGCAGTCTTTGGGCCTCAGCAGAAATAAGGTATTCAAATTATATATTATAAAAATATTGACATAGATTTTTCTTTTCGAGATAAGGTTTATCTATGTAGTCTTCACTGTTCTGGAACTCACCCTGTAGACCAAGCTGGCCTCAAACTCAGAGATCCACCTGCCTCTGCCTCCCAAGAGCTGGGATTAAAGGTGTGTACCACCACTGCCTGGCATAAAATAGATTTTTCATGAATGCTGGCTGCTGCTTCATGTGGGATAAGTTTTTACTTCATAAAGAGTAGTTAAGTAGCTGGCGTAAGCCGTGCACGATTTTATTTCTCTCTCATGAAAAGTCATTCAGCACATAGCCAGTCAGGATGAGACTGCTGTCTCCCTCTCACCTGGACCCAGCTCATCTGCCTTTAATTCCAGCATCAGCTCCACATTGTTCTTGATGCACCAGCCATTGAGTCTGTATTCTAGGTTAGAGGGTAGAGATGGGGCAAAGGATGAGGGGGGTCCATCCTTCAGGTGAGGCCTTCAGCTTTTTAATCAGGTTGCTGTGGTGGTGGAATAGCAAGCTTTCATCTGATCTCCAACTCCATACTCCACACATCCTTTTGCTGGTGTTCCTGGCTCACCAGGTGACCTGTAACTGACCCCTTCTCTTACTGCTCTGGTGGCTCTGCTCCCCAGGGTCCTGAGGGCGTACCCCATCCTACTGACTGCAGTTTACTGGGCAGAAGCTAGTCAAGCATGTGTGTCTTGCAGCTAGGATATTTAGGTCATTTTCTCAGTTGAGTCTATTGTCACCCCGGGCATTAGTCAGGTTGGCTCACTGAAGATGACAGGTGAGGGTAAAGGAGGAATCTCAGCCATGTGGATTTGGGGTGAATTCAAGCCCCATCTACACCCTGCCCCAGGAAGTCTATGCTCTCCCTATACTCAGACTTCTGAGCCTGCTCCCTGGCTCCTAGACAGTGGATGAGACCAGCAGAGGCTATTCCTTTCCACCTTCAGGAGCTAGGCTGGTCTACAACCCATCTGTGGGTATGGACCTTCCTATAGTGAAGGGCTGAGTGCACATGATTGGCTGTGTCCCTTGTGATCTTACCCCACTAGATGTGAGGCCTACTTCCTCCCCTAGTCATGACAATCAAGATTATCTGCAGGCACTGCCCACTATTGTGTGGATGAGGGGCCGTGGGGTGGGGGAGGGTGGCAAAGTCACCCTGGGAGAACAGTTGCTAGGAAGTTAGCTCAACCTGCATCTCACACTTGCACGCACCGAGGCTTTCTTCCTCACATTGGACTGCGCATGTCCCTCTGTCCACAGAAGACAAGAGCTGCCATCCAAGTGGCTCTCTGGAAACTGCTGACCAGGGCCAGTAGTTGGAAGGATGCCAGAACAACACAAAAGCCAAGCATTGGTGAGGTGGCTGAAAGGTCTGGGACAGGGAAGGCAGGCCTCGATACAACCCAATAAGAGTCCACCAGGGGGAGCCATTGTCTGTGTTTGAACTCTGAGGGGAAAGGTATCCTCTATCCTGGCACTTGGGAGCCAAGGAATACCATGAACCTCACCACTGGGAGAAGCACAGGTCCCTCTGTAGCAGGGAACTGATCAGAAGGCAGGGTTTATAAAGGGTTCCTGTGGGGTGGGGAGTGGAACTTTCCAGAGTGGCCTGGGATTGAAGGGGTAATTGTGGCCTGATGTTGGAGTAAATTCAGAGATTGGTGCAATTCTTTTCCTTTGCCTTGGTCTTGGGCTCAGACCAGGGTAAGCCTGTTGTTTTCCTTGGCCCCTTTACCCTAAATTAACCTCCTTTTTGTTCATCGCTAATAAACAATCAGCGTCAAGAAAGGAGCAATGTAATCATTAGACTACTTCCTGTTGAATGGGGGCATTGAAGTTTTTAGGGCAAGTTTGATCTTCAGTGTCAGGGTATGAATCAGGAGTTGCAGGCCTCTGTCTTCCTAGCTAGGAGCCAGTAATCCTATAATAGCAACTGATTAAAAGTCTGGTTAGAAATCTTGGATTTGTTGTTGAAGAAATCTAGTGTTAAGAAAAGGAGGTGGGGTAAGAAGGGTAGTATTTAATTCCATTCTGGACTATCAGTGATCCACTGGCCAGAGGCATGAAGCTGCTTCCTATGTTTTAGAGATCTGTCTGGAGTTGTTGCGTCTTATTCTTTACTATACCCAACTAGTTGACGTAAAAGCAACATTCCTCCCTGGAGAAAACTACCTCTCTCTGCTGTTAGTAAATCTGATCCTCGCTGATCTTGCAGCACTATGGCAGTCAGTGAGTCTATTTTGCCCTGGAGGGTGAGGATGGTCACCTGTTGGAGATCCTGGATGAACTTAGAGGAAACTGATAATGGTTAGAGAAGTAGTCAGTCCTCTTCTCCAGTGTCTATTCCCGGAGCTACAAGAAAGGGTAAGACCTGAACCTCTTGTCCTCCGTGCTGAGCCACAACAAACCCTGTGATGGGAACCAGCAGGGGTTCTTCACCAAGTACCACTCCTAATTTTGGGAAAAGGAACACCAGGGTGCAAGTCCTAGACCACCCAGAGGGTAGGCAGTGGTACACTGGAGCACTGCAGAGGATTGAGATGTTACAACATTCAAACATGAGGGCTGGGTAGTACTCAGGGTCGGGGTGTTATACACTCTGTAGAATCCAGTGTGCCTGAAAAGTGTGTCCCTGAGGGGTTAAAGCAGTCTGCAAAACCAACAAGGGAGAGATAAGGGGTAGGAGTGATCATCGTTTCGGGGCAGTTAATGAGGTAAGAGAGTCTAATAGTCCAATGGGCAAGGCCACACATGGTGGTCCTGAGTTTGATCCTGGAGGGACACACAACTAGCACTCTCCAAATCGGCCAGGTATAGAGTTATTCAGTCTCTGATATGCAATCAGGGCAGCCCAGATTTATTCCATGATATTTACAGGACCAATATGAGTAACCTCTTTAAGTTTCTGCCACTTTTACGGTAATCTTCCTTTTGGACACAGAGAAAACAGGCACGGGGGTTAGCTGTGATGGATAAGAGAGTTGGGTAAAGAAGCTGAATTTGCCTGTGGCAGCCTGCTACAGAAGAATTTGCTGACCCTATTAGGATGGGCTGTTTGTTAGAGATAGGGGTCTCTTGAACATTAAACATCAGTATGTACCCTGGTCAGGTGAAGCTAGGAAGAAATAGGAGGAAAGAGTAAATTTAGATAGAAAAATTTTCCAGATCATTTGTGCAAGACAGAAGTTGCCACCTTTGAAACTTGAGCATGCCAGTTCTGGCTACTGAACTGTACTGAGGTTAAGCTGTTTGTGGTAACAGAGTAAGGCTTTAGTAAAATCTGAGTCTGTGGAGGAAGAGAAGAAGGGTCTCAAAAATGAGCCCCATCGAAGGGAGTTTCCATAGCTCCCTGGGCCTGAGCTAAGCCCCTTCCAGTTGGTGATCTGTGCATTATACTAGAGCCACAGAGGCTGTGATACCCTGCCCCAGACCCTCCTTAACCATCATTCAGCCTGAAGCTGCTCAGAAGCATGGCTCTGCCAACGGAAGCAAGCTGGAGGGAGGAAGGGTATATACTCCCTTTCTCCGTAACCAGCATGTTTATCTTCTAAAGTAAAGATCAGCCAGCAGCCTACAGGTCCCTGAAGGCCCCATCACAGCTGTGGGAGCAAGTTTTACAGACTGTGCTGGACTCTCTCCTGAGAGGGGAACAGCTGGACATTCTGGCCTAGCTGGCAGCTTTGAAGCTTCCCCCTGGACAGCGAGGGACAGATGGTGGACCTCCGCTCATCCCTCTCCCGGCTCTCACAGGCACTTAGCTGTTCAGAGGCACATGAACGCAGATGGCCATGGCAGGAGGTGTTCTGCCTGCCTCCACAGCCTAAATGGCTGCAATCCTGGGGACCTTGAACCCAAATTCATATTGGAGTGCAATCTGGGTATCTGAAAGGCTTTGTCCCCACTTCCTGCACTGTAGACTCTTGAGTGGACTCCTGTTGACTTCTGGCCCTGAGTGGAAGTGAGTGGAGGGTTGAGAGATGGACTTCCACCCATGGGTTTTAGGATGAGCTGGACCACAGTTGGGTGGGAGCAAGCAGCCCTGTCAAGTCTCTAAGCCTGAGCCAGACTCCTCTAATAGCAGTAAGATATCACAAGCCATGGTACAATTCTGATGTGGCCCTCATTGTCAGTGGGATAATCTCACCATCCCACACTCACCAGTGAGGCCACAAGGTGAAGTCTGGCTCAAAGTCATGCATGACCCACCACAGCCTGGCTCCACTAGAGCAGTCTGCCCTGGGCGCCCTGGCTGTAGTACCTGGACTTTTACCTGCAGGTCTTCTGCAAAGAGGGGATGCTCAGGGTTGGGGTACAGAAAAGGCTGTTACATGGCTGTTACAGGTGTCTGTGTTGGCTTGTCTTGGAACTGTGATCAGCAACGCTGGGTCCCCAGTGGGTCCTTGCCCTCATTTGGCATCTGATGTTATGATAAAACAACATGATCAAAAGCAACTTTAGAAGGAAAGGGTTTGTTTGGCTTATGAGTTATGTCTCATTATCAAGGAAAGTCAAGGCAGGAATCTGGAGGAAAGAACTGAAACAGAGGCCATGGAGGAATGCTGCTTACTGACTTGATCCAAGGCTCACATTGAGCTGGATTTCTCATATAGCCCAGACTGATCACCTAACTAAGCATGACACCACTCACAGTGGGCTGGGCTTTTCCACATCAGGAAAAAAAAAAAAAGTCCAGATGTTCCCACAAGTTAATCTGATGGAGGTAATTCCTAATTGAAATTCCAGCTTCTCAGGCGACAAATTGATAACCAAGTTCAACTACCATAGTTGCCACCCTCATATCTGCACTCGTAGATCTCCTCACTCAAGTGAGGGGGCTTTCAACTGACCCCTACCACTGTGGAGCAAAGATCTTACACAAAGACAGCACCCGTACTGTAAAAGGGGTACTCGGTACTCACCCATCTCCAGTCTGCCCCTCCCCCACCAAATACAACTGCTGACATCTGGACATGGTTGCTGGTGGTTATATGTCACAGGGACATTACTGACAGCAGGACACTGGCTTTGAAGTCAAGCCTATTACCCTCACTTGTACAGAGAAGCCCAGGGGTCAGCAAGGCTAATGTTCACTTAGGTCTCTGAAACAGCCACCCTGGCCATTTTCCTGGTGTCATGTAGTGTGTGTGTGTGTGTGTGTGTGTGTGTGTGTGTGTGAGAGAGAGAGAGAGAGAGAGACAGAGACAGAGACAGAGACAGAGACAGAGAGACAAAGAGACAGAGAGACACAGAGAGAGAGACGGGGGGGGTTAAAAAATAAGAAAATAACTGAGGAAGGCACTTGACACCAACTCTATCCTACACACACGCACACTCATCCACATGCACATGTACACGCATGCACACACACACAAAGCATTTCAAGACAAGAGGTTAGAGAGGTGG